CTGCGAACGAAGCTCTACTTATCTTCGATCATTAAAGACGCGTAAAGATTAAGGGTAGTTATTTTCGTGAGAATACCTCGGCGTCGCACGTCGTAAATCGTCGAATTACGATGGAAAATGAGAAAAAAATAAGTATTCCCTCGAAGGAACCGCGCCTCGGAGCTCGTAATAAGATTCACGATGTACACGAAATTCCAGGAGAAAATAACGTCTCATTTCGTCGACCGCCACTAGCAGCTCCTCGCGTAATAACATGCAATTTTACCCCGTGTACTTCTCCGGGGCTTATCGATTCTTTTTTCATGCCCGCGGGGGCTTTTTGCTCGGCGATTATTCGCAAGAGGAAAGAAACTACCGAAAGGTGTACTTGGGAGGAAATTGAAGACCGACCTAACTAAAAATCATTCAAATTTTATATTTCGTCGAGTCCAGGCTTCGAGGCGCGCGCATCGAGGATGCTTAATTTATTTCGTATAAAGAAAGAATTTGATAATAAAATAGAAACTTTGCATTCGTAATAAAATAAAAATTAAAGTAACTCTCAATACGTGTCTCAAATGAGAGGTGGGAAATTTTTCTAAAATCCAAAAAGAGTTTAGAAAAAATCCTTTACTGGTACAGTCGAAGTCGATTTCAAAATCGTGGGACCAAAAAACATTTTTCATGTTGCAACGAGGCCTGTGCAGAGGTTCTGCCGTCGAATCGTGACACCGTGAGAGGGGGGAGGGGGGGCTACCGACTCGAAACCCGCCGAGCAGACGGTTGCGAGGGCGAGGGGCGCGGAGGGCAGAGAGGAGCAACAACGAGGAGGAAGATTGATCGCGGTGAGGCTGCATCGCGAGTTGCATCTGCCGCGCGCGCGAGAGAGTCTCGAACGGGGAGCCAGAGGGGGTGGGAAGACAGACGTACCGGGAAAGAGTGAAAGAGAGAGCCCCGGGGAGAGGCTCCGCCTTCGGTTGGCGTGTGCATTTGCGCAAGATGGCGGCGGTCGCGCGTTTTGCACGACCTGTGCGCCGCGCTCGAGCGCCGGACCCTCTTCTTCGTCGCGCCGAGGTGCAAGCTGCTCGCTCGGCCCGACGGGAGAGAAAGAGACGCGGCCTGGAGGGTTGTAGGGGCAGAGACGGGGAGACAGCGTGGCGGCGACACCGGGGTGGGGGGAAAAAGGGCGCGTATAGAGCGGAAATAGAGCAGACGGGGCGAGCAATGTCGCTGGAAAAGTTCGACGCGAGAGAAATTAGAGCGGAGAGCGGATAGAGCGATTAGAGCGGAGCGCTAGAGGTGAACAAAGAAAATTGTGAACGAGATAGAGCAAAGGGGGCGAGCGGTAGAGCGGACAAACATGGAGCAGCTTGTCGCTGGTGAAGTAGACGGGGCAGAAACGAGAAAGGCAGCGAGCGGGGCACGATAAAAACCGGAGAAGAAAATAGAAAATACGACGGACAAAGACCAGAAAAACACGAAAACGCGGTGCAACGCGAAAGAGATAAAGCAAGCGAGATAAACACGCAAGAGGGGGGCAGGGGAGGCGAGGGGGGACCGGGCGGGCGGGGTGGAGAAGAAAAGAGAGGGTAACCTACAAAAGCAGCGCCTCCCGCGTGGCCTGCAATTACGTATGCACCTCTCTGAGAGCCCGTGGGCTTCGCGGTTGGCTGCGCTTCCTTCCTGTCTGCCGCAACCACTGTGTGTATTATGCATCCCGGTCCGTGGCGCGTCCGCCTATCTTGTTTATTTTTTTCTTTAGCCTCGCTGGCACCACCCTACCCGCCCCCGATCCGCATGGCACTTTCGTCGATCGATCACTCGCGGACAGAAACATCCTCTGAGAACCGTTGTCTAATGAGTCTCCAGACCGAGATGGACTTCGCCGACCTCTCCTCTCGATCCTCGAGCGTGAGGTTCGCTCGTAACCGTGGACCAAGGTAGCCTGGTCAGCTTCGTTCGAGATTTTCATTGCATCTTCGCAGAAAGATCGACGATTTCTCACCGGATCGTTCGAAGGACTCGGCTGTCAAAGCAGCAGTCTCAGCTTTGATGAAAGACACGAACAAAAACAAAAGAGTCTGGTCCAATTAATACCGAGTCTCGAACATCCTTCCTGCGTTAAACGATTGCGCGTGACTAGTTTCTCGTTACCAGAATTCGTCGGACTGCCTTTTAATTTAGTCGCGGGTAGCCACAAACAACTCCACATACGGGTTGAACGTATTTCTACGAAAGACGTCTACGAGTTTGCGCCATAACCGAAACCGTCCTTCGTTAGGGATTAGCCTACGCCGGGAAACAGGAACACTTGGGGCAAAATTAGCCGAGCATTGAAAAATATTCGTCAAACGGAGCACCGTCGTCTGCCCTAGAAACTCTCTATGTTCTCACGAGACGCGTGGAATTTCAGAGGACCGCCGGTGTCAGGGGGTCAAGCACCGAGGCAAGAAAGAAGAGAGAAGTCGTAAAGAAGTCACAGGGATTCCGGGCAGCCGCGGCTCCAGCGACAGATAGAGATTTGATTCCGATTAGGGGCGCTGGTTTTTTGGCGCAGCACGAGTTAACAGAGGGCCGAGTATGATCCATGCACGTCGGCGAGAATCAGGGATATCGCGTTCCAGGGCCTCGAGATCCGACCGGCTGTATCGAGTTTCGTGCCTCCTCGTGCACTTTTTGGCCTCTTTTCCTGCTGAATCCGGGCCCTTCTTCCTCCCCCTCCTCCCCGCGCCCCTGCGCTGCTTTTTCATGCTTGGCCAACGACGGACAACCGAGAGCTATCGGGATTACCGGTACACCTAGAGCGTACGCGCTATCGCTTTCCCAACTCCCTCTATTCCCTCTAACCCTTTGCTCTACCTCGCTCTACCTGACCGTGAAAACGGACTCGCAGCAAGCTTTTGGCAACGAGTCCAACCTAACGGAGTCACGAGGTGTCCGGACGAAACGGATACGCTCTCCCGGGATCGTCCAGAGACCAGTAAGCTGTGCATCCGCTTTCTAAGGCTCGATCTAGAGACTTCGTATAGCGCTAAAGCTTCGACTCTACAAGAAAATTTAAGCAAACACGTAAAGCCATAGTTACGTTAGGCGCATCAAATTTCAAGAAAATGATTACGTTGCTATGGGTTTTATAGAAATTATAGCACGCTGTTCCTCTATTTTCTAAGAGACTTCGCAAAGCACCAAAGCTTCGACGCTATAAGGAAATTTGAACAAATACATGAAATCGACTATAATTGCTCCAAGTGTTTCAAATTTCACGAAAATTATTAAATTACTATGTGTTTTATGAAAACTATAGCACGCTATTCCTCCACATTCTAAGGCTCGATCTAGAGACTTCGTATAGCGCTAGAGCTTCAACGCTATATAAAAATTTGTCCAAATACATAAAATCGACTATGATTCAGGTATTTTAAATTTCACGAAAATTATTCAGTTGCTATGGGTTTTATAGAAATTATAGCACGCTGTTCCTCTATTTTCTAAGAGACTTCGTATAGCACCAGAGCTTCGACGCTATAAGGAAATTTGAGCAAATACATAAAGTCGGCTATAATTGCTCCAAGTGTTTCAAATTTCACGAAAATTATTAAATTACTATGTGTTTTATGAAAACTATAGCACGCTATTCCTCCACATTCTAAGGCTCGATCTAGAGACTTCGTATAGCGCTAGAGCTTCAACGCTATATAAAAATTTGTCCAAATACATAAAATCGACTATAATTCAGGTGTTTTAAATTTCACGAAAATTATTCAGTTGCTATGAGTTTTGTAGGAATTATAGCGCGCTGATTGAGAGCTCTCTGCTCTATGCGCGCTCAACGTTTCTCGTTTCTCTTTCGCTCTCAACCTCCCCGGTTTCAAGCTCCGCCAATTACGAGTCTCATTCTTGATGCAGAAGAGGTCACTCGAAACGAAAAGTCATTTGCCAAAGGTGTCAAGAGGCCGGAAAAAGAGAGGGGCGAGGCCATTTTGGTGCACGCGCTCGCGTGCTCGAAAGTGGATAACGAGGCTCGATTGTTCTTCAACGGGATATCTCGAGCTGCCTCGAGATTAAGAAGCGCCGTATTAGTTTTCAATCTCTGCTCTCGCCTCCGATTCGAGCCCGTCGTTCCGTGAACTCGCGCGAAATTGCGTCGCTCGCGGTAAACCGTACAGGTTCACGGTGAAAGACGATCTTAAAGATGGACGCGTAGTACGTACACGCGCGGCAAACGTTGACTCTTGGAAATAACTAGCAGTTGTTCCTCTACGCTTCCACGAAGAGCGAAACCCGAACCGACGCGCAAAAACGACGAAGAGAGAAATCGAGGGAAGATACAGTTAGCTCGAGAGCCACGAAAATTCAACCTCCCACGCTTGCCAACGGACTAGCGATGTTTCTAGGAAGGCTAACGCCGGCTCTTCGAAATCCCTAGCAATCGTTTTCTCAACTACATCAAAAATTAAGACTGACAAAATGTCAAATTAGAAATTAAATTTCTCCACGTTAACAATAATAATTATACATGTATAATTTCTTAATTCAATTGATTATGTTTCGTGATCTACAGACTACGGAGGCTACAGACATAAATAAACGATGTATGAGAAATTCTATTGTCCCTGAATTTACTGGTAGTGTTTTGCAAAATTTCCAGGAATATTTCAGTGCCTCGGGGGGCGGTCCGTACGACGACATAATTAAATATCCGCGTGGTAATTAACGAGGTAGACCGAGACGCCATTAGCCGATCGTTGAACCGCGCAGTCACGAGAGACACGCGAAAAAAGGAGTCGACGCGTGCAGTTGTCATGGCCGTTGTCGGGCTTTTTTACGACCACCGGGGGTGGAAGGACCTTCGACGGTTGCGTGAAGGTGGCAGCCCCTTTTGCGAAATCATCCATAATCGTCGCAGAGATATCGTTCTTGTCGGCCGTAAATTCGCGGAAATCGTTACGCGAAATATTCCTTCCATAAAGTGTATCGTGCACTGTTTATTTACGTTATTACAGAAAAATTCGATTACTTACTGTGAGCGTAGTGTGCAGCGGCGGCGGGGTGGTGCGCGGTGGGTCCAGCGTGGGGGTAGTAGCCCCTATAGTCGGTCGGGTTGCCAACAACCCCAGCGACCCCCGCACCCCCCGATGGTGGCTCTAACGTGGACCTAGGGGGTTCGTACCACCTAGCCGCGCTCGACTCGCTGCTCATGTCCATCTTGTCGAGACTTGTCCTCTTCTAACGACCCTTCCTCCTCCTCCTCCTCCACCTCCACCTCCTCCACCTCCTCCTCCTCCACCTCCTCCTCCACCTCCTCCTCCGCCGCCTCCGTCTGCGATCCGAAGGAGATCTTTTCGCGGGGGTTGCTCAACGGAGGTGAACCAGAGGGTAACTAGGGGAGTGGGGGGAACAAGGGGGAGTGGAAGGGGATTAGGAACGGTGCCAAAAACGCCTCTCTTCCGGAAGCGTGGTCCTCCTGAGGACGCTCGGGGAGATCATAGGTAATCCTGGCGCTTCGTTTGACGATCACGAAGAAAATCTCGATCTCTGACCCCGCCTTCTGGAACAAACAGAGAAAAATATTAGTTCGGTTCAACGGTTCGATCGATCCTAAACGACTGATACCTCCTATCCACGCGATTCTTATCTAGATAACGGTTACGAATAACGAATTAAAAATTACGATCCGAATTGTACGAAACGAAATTATATTTTAACTAACGAAAACATTCTACAGTGCTTTTATTAGTGATGAATAGCAACTCTAGTGGACATCAGACTCAACCCTCTAGGCGTTGATTTCGAGGCCGAGAATAGTTTTTAGAGCTGGAAGAGCCCTGTGCCAACATTTAACGTCTCCGTAACACGGGCAACGCAGATTAGATAATCGAGAACTTCACCAAACTTCGAACCACACGAACGATTATATCGTGTCACGTTAATTCGTTCCCGATCGAAGGGAAAGTCACTATCGTACGACTCCAAAGCGTTTCACGACGATGAAAGCTGAGCAGAGGAGCACTGGGGGAGTCCGACGCTAGTGACTTTCCCTTCGAAGCGTCCAAAGATAAATCCTAACCTCGGAACCGCACGCACAAGATTTCAACCGTGTTTCCACGATCTCCCCCGAGCCGAGTGGCTAACGAACGTCTTCGCTAATTAGACTACGCTGAAAACCTGTCGCTCGCCAATTACGTAACGCCGTCTTTTCAATATCCGAGGCACTCGACGCGAGAAGTAAATTAATACCGATGGAAACGCGAGACGATCCTCGGCGAACCGCGGAATCCGGTTGCAAACAGTCAGTTTATCTCGTTACACGGTCACAGCTGGGCGAAAAGGGGACTCGCTCGACGAGCCAAAGAGTTAAAAATCCTCCTGAGAAGAGCGACCAAAACATGGCGACGACTCCTTCGGATGGAACCGGGCGTCCGAGGGTCCCATGATCGATCAAGCCAATTTCGGGCGTTCATCCTTCCGGCCTGGGCTTGATCGATTTCCCCGATCCTCGATAAAACGCGCGCGCGTACAACAAACGGCAGAAAGGCTGGCCAGTCACTTACCCGTCACGATCACCGATGATAATCGATCAGCTCGCGAGATCTCGGTTAATTGGGTCCTGATCTGCGCTTTAGTGCGGCGACACTGATGATGCGCCGGCCACTCGACGATCAAGTGCCTCCGAATGATTTATCAATCGACCGGGCATAGCCGATGATCAAGGTCATCGATGACGCAACCGGGCCCCTCTCTCGCGATCGCCCAATCCTGATACAGGCTCGATGACACGGAAAAAGGACGGAACGATCGACGTCTACGGGGAACGGAGACCGACCGTCTTATCAGCCAACAACTCCCCGGGTCTGTTTGAACGACGCTTCGTCATTACCGCGGAGCCGATCGAGGGGAGTTCTATATCTGCCCTTCGCGTCTTTTCGAACCTTTTCGCCGAGATCCCCAACGTTCGACCGGCCTGCGACACGCTGAAGATCGTTTCTCGAACGCAAACGATATCTAAAGACGTTTTCTCAGTTAGTGAATCCCTGGAGCAAACATCCCCCCCCGAAGACTAAACGAGACTTTCGTTGATGGAATTGAAATTTGTGGAAGAGAATTCATTTAATCTGAAAATGGAGCATTCGAGTCGGGGCTCTTTAACACTTTGAATGCTGAATATTCATGGCTGAAGTACTCTGTTAAATTATTATATACGAGCCGCAACTGAGTTATAAATATAATTCTTTTAACGAATTATTGTATTACAAAACACACCTCAACTTGAATAATACAATTTTTTTTTAAATACTAAAAATTGCAGTAAGTGAAAGATCGAAAGAATTGATAAATGCATACATGTATCTATGGTGCTCAAAGGGTTAATTGCATTTGAAAAATGTGTGTAGGAAAACGAATGAAAGATGGAAAATACTAGGTCCTAAATGTACGCCTTTACCCAGAGGCGGATGTAGCACTTCCAAAATTATATGTTCAGGGCAAATAAAATACTCGAAAACAAGATCCGATAAGATATACACAAAAAGCCCGGCGATAAGATTAGTACTTCGGAATTGGTTACGAATATTCGATTATTTTTCACATTGTGGATCCCAGCATTCCTCGAGCACTCTTTCCGATCACATATCACGATAATATTACAGAGTTATTGCAACCTTTTAGTCGTTTTCAGCGCCAATTAAATATTCAACGACCGCCTTACGTACATACGCGTACTCCAATATTGCTTCGATTATATAATTAACGATTCTATTTACGTTTCGATCGTAAATTATTGTATTACACCAACGTACGAAATATTTTTCACTTTCTATTTCAAGAAAATTCCATCGAATTATGAACCTTACCGTACAATTTCCCGAGAAACGCACAAATCCCGATCACTGATACGATGGATCGAATGAAACGGCGTCGATCAAATCGACATTGTTCGAAACAAATCGATCAAATCTGGAATAAACTTTTCAATTTCGCGACGTTCTCGATTCGTAAACGTCGGTTGTTTTCCATCGCGGAAAGTAGCGGGAAAGTGAATGACGCAGATCGTGGATCGTCAAGAAGACACTCGAGATTCTTTCGTCCGATATTTTCGACCGATCACTCCTCTAAATCGTGAGGTGGGCCTGAACGAGTTGACAATCGAGATAAGCTGGCTCCGAAATTGATAAGTGAAAACTACCAGTCGATTTTGAAGGTTCACGGAGATTAGGATAACGGCTGATCGAAATCTGCTCGACGGAAGGGCTCTTTTAACCGTACAATATCCCACCTTAAAATTAGTTTCTTGCTAAATTTCCTATCGACTCGTCGAATACCACTCGCGGTGCAATTTGAAAGAAACTTTTAACCCAAACGTATCGTCGGAAAATTAAATTTTCCTACGCGATGTCGCGATAGAATTTGTCGTTGCTCGCATTTCGCGTTGTTATTGTCGCTTTCCCGACGACGCGATTTTGTTTTCCTGTTTCATAACGGTACGCGTCGCTCGAGAATCGTCCTCGATGGACTTCGATCGAATTTCGAAGGCTGTCGTCGCACAATTTTTAATCTTACTTGTCACGAATCGCCGCTGATTTTCGGCCGCACGTGCATCGCCCGCTCTCGTACGGAACGAGATTAACGAATCCCGATAAGATTAGTCTTCGCGATACGTGATCGAGCAACTCTCGCCGATGGAGGTATTTTTTTTCGACCGGTTGACGTAACTTGTCACCTGTTCGATAAATCTGTCGGACGGGCGGCGATCGACGGGGAAACGATCCGGTGAAAACGCGAAAATCGATGGGAAAATAACTGTCGAACGCGCGCCGCTAGATGAATTTTCGAAAGAAGTATGCCTTATCGACAGATAAGCGGCGATAAACATCGTTACGGCGTATCTAACGATTTAATAAAATATTATTGTTGTCCGAAATCGGCCGATAAGGATTTCCACGATAATTACCAAGGAGAGGAAATTTTTTAGCCTCCTGAACTTCGAACTCTATACTTTGATTCGCAGAAATAATTTTAGCCTTCGAGGCGAATTTTTAAATTTCTAATTTTCAAGGTTTATTTGGCTGACTCGCAGAAAGTATTGCGCGTTTCGAAACGTTGATCATCGATAAGTCAAAATAGAATTATATTCGTTGAATCATTTTTAGTTATAGTAATTAATTAAGATTCGTTTTAAAAATAAACGAAACAGAGAAGATGTAAACAATATATCCTAATTGTAACAGCAACCGACACTCGTAGGAATTTCATTCGAACATCGTTTATTTCACTCGTCAAAAAACATCTTCAAACGCTCAAATTGACTTTTAAACAACTAAATCTTGTTCAATATACATTATTCAGAAGAGTTCCGTCTTTAAAACGCCTGCCAACAAATGTATTCTAATCGGCGAAGCGACACACGGGCAAATGTTTTCTAAAGAGACGTCAAACGAATCTTCGACGACAAAACTTTTTTTAAAAATCAATGGATCGTCGCAGAAGTCAAAATTAAACGTAAAACGTTCTTTAAAACTGAACCGTTGTAAACAAACGTCGTCGAATCAAACTCAACCATCGAAGTATGTCGACTGTCAAAAATAAATACTAATTTAAAGAACAGATTACATTTTTAGACACCAAAACGAGCAAAGACGATCCTCGACGAGGGGATTGCAATTTCAACGAGTATATTACGAAAGAAAAATTGCACGAATGAAATAAAAAGATTGATAAGCAGCTGATAACGTCGGTTGCAAGCTATTTTCTTTCGGAATGCGTTCCTTTGTTTGTTTTTCGATGGGAGAAACGAAACAAGGTCTTCGAAGGATTTTTCTCGTCTCGGGATCGTTTGGAACTCATCGTGGACGAAGTCAGAGCTCGTGGAGCGAAAAATCAGCCTCAGGTGGAAAATCTTCGGGGAGAAGGTCGGCCCGAGTTAGGTCCGCGTTCGTTACCTACAGGCTTTTCCAAACAATGGCCCGAGAAATTGAGAGAGTGGCACGTGCGTTCGAGGGGACTCGACGTCTTCGGCGACGCGTACCATTCCACCTCGACCCCTGGCCGTCGGATCGAGGACGATCGGGCTTCCATCGAGGAAACACGATACCTCGAGGCCTTTAGGACCAAGGACGAAGGGACGTTGCCCAAACGACGTCCCCGCGAAAGCGGAAGAGCAACGATCGGAATGTTCAACTTTGACGCGTTTCAATTTTCTCTCCACTTCG